CCAAACAATCAGGGGAAGAGATGGAATTTTCCTTATGTTTCCATTCTATCAGATCAATAGGTAGTCAGTGCAGGCAGATGTATCCCATAGATCATGTTTGAAGAAGGTCATAAAATCAAGTTCCTCAAAAGAAAACAATTTTTCCCCGACCTGGTTCCCTAAATTAGGAACTAGCCAACACTATTTCCATCAGTTTTCTCCAGACAACCTTGATGTCAGGGGTGGAATTCAAATTTTTAACAACCAGTTCTGTGGGCATGGCTTAGATGGTAGGCGTGGCTTGGTGGTCATGTGACTGGGTGGACATGGCTTGATGGTCATGTTATTGGCTGGGTGTGGCCAACTCAATATCACTCACATCGAGGCACGCATCTCCTCGCCTAGCCTCTCATGACTGTGGAGATACTGCAACAGTCATAAGTGTGAAAAATGGTCATGTCACTTTTTTCAGTGCCATTGTAACTTTGAATGGTCACTCCACACAAGCAAAGTATCAGCAAAGGAGTGGGGGAAAGTCCAGAGATGTTCCTGAGACAGGAAGTCTAGTCCTGCCAAGAATGTAATAAGGGTTAATGGCGAGGCAGTTTCTGTAAGCAACACCAGAATGTTTCCTTCCTGCCTTCCTTACAGGATTAGGCCAGTAATTTCTTCTAACAACTGGTTCTCCGAACTGCTTAGAATGTTAACAACCAGTTCTAGAGAATAGGTGCGAATGGGTAGAATCCCACCTCTGCTTGATATGCTAGAGCAGGGGTGTCAAACTCAAGGCCTGTGGGCTGGATCCGGCCCATGGGGTGCTTAGATCTGACCCGCAGGACTACCCTGGAAACAGCAAAGGACTGGCCTGTAGTATCTCTGCCAGTGAAAACAGAGCTCATGAGGGCCACAGGAGGCCCTCCCGAGCTCTGGCAGAGGGTTGCAGGAGGCTGTCACAGCCAAAAATGGAGCTCAGGAGCCCTTTTTTGCTGGCAGAGTGTTCAGGCTATCACAGCCATCCCCAATGTGAGTGATGTAGAGATGGCCATGCCCACTCAGACCATGCCCACTCTGGTCATGCCCACTCCGGCCCCCTGAGGTCAAACACAATGCTGATGCGGCCCTCAGTGAAATCAAGTTTGACACCCCTGTGCTAGAGCTACAATTCCCATGACTCTGAGTCGATTCATAAACTAGTCAGGAGTACAATTCAAAGTAGTTTGAAAGAACAATTACTCAGGACTATTATGGACAGAACACTGACATCTCCAACTAATTTGAGAAGCATTTGAGAAAAGCATGGGCACAGAATGTTGGGTTTAAACTGGAAACGTTCAGGTATAATTTTTAATCTGGCTGAATTGGTTGGAATTCTGGGGTGCATAATCCCAGGAGATTTAGGGAGCACCAGGTTGGGACAAATGCATTTTGCTAAGGTCATAGGAACTCTCAGGTCTCAAAGGGTCTATTTACTTTGTATTATCAGAACCAGTCTCTCCGTCTGTTCATGAAAGAATGTGGAGGCTTAAAGATGAATTTACTCTGTTCACAAACCATGCAGCCAGCGTTATGAAAGTAAGAGAGGGGAATAGAGATTGGGAAAGGCAATATGAATTATAAATACAAATAACCCCTTGTGTTTTCCTATTCAGTGGTGCAGAATCAATACAAATTCTTTTCGAACCTGAATACATGTGAAACAAGAGTTACCTATCTCCTCATATTTCCAGTACCATTGTCTACAATGATTGGTTCAGTAAAAACTGTTTAAAATGGGAGGGGAGATGGGTAAATGTTCTACATTTCTACATTATTTTCTAGGAAAGATATGACTGGAAATAATAGGTTGTGTCTGCTTTGAGAGAGTGGGAGAGGAGATCAGTTTTAAATTAATACAAAAAGTAATTGCCCAACCCAGAGACACATTATGGCTGGGATCTTACTGTATTGTTTGAAATCCTGCTATCGTATTAAACCATAGTACTATGGACATAGCATAGGATGTATAGGGCAATTGTGTTTTGTTAGCCCAAATTTTGGGTTAAGCATGTTGCACAATCCTAATTTACTCATTTCATATTGACATTGAAGAAATGGGCACTTCTATATTTAAAAGCTTTGAATAAAAAGCAGAAGGATAAGAATTAAATTCTGAACCAGGGTAGTATGAAGACAGACTATTGGACTTAAGTTTCAAATAAAGGTAATCCTTAACTTACAACCATTTGTTTAGCAATTCTTCCAATTTACAATAGCATGGAGGAAAGAGTCTTTTGACTATCGTTGCACTTACAACCATTGCAGCATTCCCACAGTTGCTTCACAACTGACATGTATTTATGGCAGTTAAGTATCCTGAGGCCACAAGATCATCATTTGTGACCTTCCCGGAGGCTTCCAATAAGCAAATTCAATAGCGGAAACTGGATTTATTTAACAACTGCAATGATTGTCCCAGAGATGGTTTTTTTAAGAAGCAACTGAACTTTCTGCAGTGATTTGTTTTACAACTGTGGCAAAAAAAGAAGTTCCTGCCCCAACTGTGGTTGTAAGTCAAGGACTACCTGTACAACTCATATTCTACCTCCACAGAGGGAAGCAGTTGTGGTACTATTTATGTATCTGCTCATCTGCTTGCTTGAAGCTTTTCTAGCTTACCCCACTCGTGAAAGACTCTAGGCCAGGAGTTTCAAAATCAATTTCATTGAGGACCACATCAGGGTTGTGTTTGACCTCAGGGGGGGTGGGTGGATGTGGCCAGAGTGTGTGACACCAGGGTGGACATGGCCAGCTTGATGCCACTCATCAATTGGCTCTATTTTCGGCCACGACAGTCTTCCTGGGCTCCGTTTTTGGCTGCAACAGCCTCCTGTACCCTCTGCTAGTGAAAATGGAGCTTGGGGAGGCATGGCCCTCCTGGGCTCTGTTTTGGGCCACAATGGCCTTCTGCAACTCTCTGCCATGCAGCCTCCCCGAGCTCTGTTTTTACTGGCAGAGGGTTGCAGGAGGCCATTGTGGCCCAAAACAGAGCTCAGGATGGCAGTGCGCAGCCCTCTCGAGCTCTGTTTTGGCTGGCAGAATAATAGCATTGTGGGGCAGGTCCTTCACTGTTTTCAGGATGGGCCTGTGGGCCAGATCTAAGCATCCTGTGGGGTGGATCTGGCCCATGGGCCTTGAGTTTGACCCCCCTGCTCTAGGCAGTGAAGAGCAAATCAAAAATTCCTGTAAAGCAGCATAACTAAACTAATACAATACATTACAAATGCCCACATGTCATGGTGTCCTAATTAGTCTAAAATTAAGTTTGAATGGAATAGGCCTCTTTTCACTTGATTTAGATTGCAAAGAGAGTTGGAACTGCACATATCTATAGAAGAAAATCATTGTACACTGTAGGCAATATTACAAAAAATCTACCAACTTTTACATTGCATGGAGAGGGATTCTCAGCAGGCCCTTTCTAGATGATAGGCAAATTCTTTTTATGGCAAGGCAAGAGTTGATGTGACTTGTTGATGCACTTGGTGGAGTGTTAAAGGCAACAACTGAGACTTTGAATTGGTCCTAGAAGCCTACTGGTAACCAATGTAACAATTTTAAAATGGGTGTTTTTTGAACTGGTGGGATTGTCCCACCATTAATCTTACTACCACATGCAGATATTCCTGAGGGTGCCACCTCTGGAATATCTGCAAAGACATTGGAGAATACAAGGCCTTGAATGCATCTCATCCTCTACCACAGAGTGGAACTGACTTCAAGACCCTGCTCCAACAATTGCTGACGGCTTAACCACCACAAGAGTCTGCCCCAATCCTTGCTGATGAGCCAGAATAATACCATAGTGGAATGTTTTTGAAAGGCTTAGTAGACGGAATGGCTTTGGAGGGCTTAGAAGGATCAAGACGAACACACTCTTTCAGAACTTGGTCCTGGTTGTCATTCTCCCAAGCAACTATTGTCATTTCAGTCCCATGAACAGGCCTGAACATTGATTGAAAAGAATCTAGATTATCTTGTTTCCTAGATAAGAGGTGTGGTGGTGCAGTGATTAGAATGCAGTACTGCAGGCTACTTCCACTGACTGCCAGCAGTTTGACAATTCAATCCTCATTGACTCAAGGTTGTCTCAGCCTTCCATTCTTCCTAGGTCGGTAAAATGAGGACTCAGATTATTGGGGGCAATATGTTAACTCTGTAAACCGCTTAGAGGGGGCTGTAAAAACACTGTGAAGCAATATATAAGTCTAAGTGCTATTGCTATATAATCTAGATTATTCTGAGCAGTTAGCTCCCCATTGCCTTCTCAACAACTTCCTTTAAAGAAGGGGAAATTGTAAATAATAATTGTAAAAAATTGATCAAGTTATCTGGGAAAGTTTCTTTAAAAGAAAGCCCATCTCCATCTGTATCAGAGCAGGCAGCATTTTGCCCCCACTCAAGCATTAATTATCTCCTGGAATCATTCATTGACATTGACTATAAGAGCATTACTGGATTAAAGAAGATGACTGTATAGTCGGTCCAACATCCTGTTTTATGTGATTGCTAAGCCAGATGTCTGTGGGAAGTACACCAGTAAGATATAGCTATTTTCCCAGGAAATGGTATTCAGATACATGTTCATTGTGACCTTGATCCTGTAGTACACAGCCATCTTGTCTTGTACTGATTAATAAGCTTACTTTCTATAAATTAGTTTAATCCCCCTTTAAAACAATGTTTATTACCAGTCAGTATTGCATCTTGTGGTAGGGTAATAATTTAGCTATGTGTGTAAAAAGTTATTTTCTGCTATCTATTGTAAGCCTTACCACATTCATTACAACACTCAATAATCCACATACTTGAAGAAAGAAAAAATATTATTCTTATCCATATAACTAGGTTTTGCCAAACTGATTAAAAAAATAGTAACTCAATCAAGATTTATACAATACTTTTGAACTGTTGTGTGTACATTTTGCACTAGTTCCAGTAATGTTAGTGGGCTTTTTTTTTTTTTTGCTTTTTTTCCCAAACAGATATAAGCAGTGCTGAAGTAAAGGAGAACCGTAACACTGGCAATTTAGAAGATCATTCAGTTACTTCTAATGAAAGATCAAGAGTAGCAGCTTCCAGGGTCAAAAGAAAAAGGCCTCTAGAAGAGGGCAACAGTGGACATTTCTGCAAATTTCAGCTCATCTGCAAGAAGGTCTCATGGACTGTAACGCCAAAGAATGCCCTGGTTCAGCTACATGAACTTAAACCTGGTTTACAATATAAAATGATTTCCCAAACTGGCCCTGTCCATGCCCCAGTATTTGCAGTTGCTGTGGAGGTCAATGGACACACATTTGAAGGCACTGGTCCGACAAAAAAGAAAGCCAAAATGAGAGCTGCTGAACAAGCCCTCAAGTCATTTGTGCAGTTTCCCAATGCATCTCAAGCTCATTTTGCCATGGGAAATTGTTTCAACCCATCTACAGACTTTACGTCAGACCTAGAAGACTTTCCAGACACTCTGTTCAAGGAGTTTGAACCATCTGCACACAGTAAGGAATTCTCAGTCTGTACACCTGTGAATAACGAATTGCTTTCTAAGGCCTGCCGTCAAGGGAAGCTACTCTACCACACATTGGACTTCATGAGCCACCCTAAACAAAACAAGATGGCGTCCACCGCCAAGAGTGAAAAGAACCCAGTGGTGTTGCTCAATGAGCTGCGGTCAGGACTGAGGTACGTCTGCCTTTCGGAGACTGTGGAGAAGCAGCATATCAAGAGTTTTGTGATGGCTGTGAGAGTGGATGGGAGAACATTTGAAGGCTCGGGACGTAGCAAGAAGCTGGCTAAAGGTCAAGCAGCACAGGCTGCACTGCAGGCCCTCTTTAACATTCGTCTGCCCAGTCACATTCCCAGCAGGAGCAAATGTAATCATTTGCCACAGGTGAGAGCTCTGAGGTAGCCACCACCGAGCTGAAGGGATTCTGTAAAATTAATGTGATTTCTTGTGTTCTAGCCATAAATTGTGACTTTATCAGAATGCTCGCCCAGAGGGTGCTGTACTTCAGCAGTGTCTCGTTCCTGGCTGAAGCCATGTGCAAAGACGTTGGCATTTTCTTCCCCTTTTGCATAACTAAGAGCCACCAGACAAGTTAATTTTTTAAAAAAGGAAGTTGAGCATAGAGACCTTTGAAGAACCATCAATATTTCAACTGCAAATTAATAGTATTTCCATACATAAAGAACATAGAACCCTATTTTTGTTTTTATTATCAGAGTATATTTGCTCTTACGAAAGACATCATAACTAAGGTATGGTAGGGATGTTTTTTTTATCCCCCCCCCCCTATTGAGTTACAGTCAGATAAAGAGGACATCATTGTTTAAAATGTACATTTAAAATCTATTTCCCAGGTTTCACCTCCAGAATTCAGATAAATATTAAAGATATCTGAAGAATGGCTGTCAATCAATTGACTGAGATAAAGGAAAAAGCTGGTGGTGTTTTGCTGGTTATATGTTCATGTGGCATACTTGGGTGCTGAAGCAAGAAAAAAATTCAATTTTTCTGTCCTCTAATTTGAAAGTGTTGCTAGTTTTTAGTTAGTAACTATCAATCAATCAATCAGAATAGAGTTGGAAGTCAAACCCCCTGCTCAAGCAGGAAACCATTTCAGATAGGTGGCTATCCCAGTCTTTTCTTAAAAACCTCCAGGGATGAAATTAGTTATCCAATCTCTTCTTGAAAACTTCCAGTGATGGAGCACCCACAACTTCTGATGGCAAAGTGTTCCATTGGTTGATTGTCCCCAGTGTTAGGAAATTTCTCCTTGATTCCAGATTGTTTCTCTCCTTGATCATTCCAATCTGTTGCTTTTTCTCCTGCTTTCTGGCAGCTCCCTCCATTGCAAAGGGACACAGTGGGAAGGGAGGTCACCTTAGTCCCCAAAAGAGACCCCTCCACGCCCAGGTCCCTTTGACTGACAACTAAAATAACTAAGTTGCGATGAGGCTATATTAATAGATAGATTTTGTTACCTGAATTTTCTTTCAGTGTTGTTCTTCTTGGTAGTCATTTTGTCTTGGACTCTTCTTCAATTGAAATTTCTTCTGCTTTTCCTAAGTTTTTGAAAAGGAAGTTGGAAAAAATAGAGCACCCTGTTATGCATTTTTCCTTGAGATCTTTATCTGCCTTCAGATTTTTCCCATTTATGTTAGAATTTACTGACTACTCTAAAATAGAGGAAAGATATATTCATGTGGTATTTCAGGGTCACAAAATAAGATCTATGATCTATACCTACATGGAAAATGTTCCAAGAGAGGTGTTTTGCTATGTACTTATTTAATGAGGTGTTTTGCTACGTTTATTTAAATATGTACCCTAGCTTTCTGTAGTGTTGGAAACTATATTTCAATTTTAACTCTTCTGACAATTTTGACTACAGTTTTTGTAGATTTTTTAAAAAATATTTTACTTTGCATGCCAAATCAACTAACCTTAGCTTGCATTTTCTTTCATTTTTGCCTTGTAGTTTTCAGCTTGTTAAATTAGATGGGCTATTTTATAGTACAGTCATCTTTGAACATTATTCTGGGTTAAAATGCATTACACAAATTTCAGTATTACATATTTGCGTGCTGTGAATGTACCTATTTTAAAAACCATGTTTGACATTTTCTATCCCATTGCTGGCCACAAAATCAAGGCTCATTGAACAAATGTGTGAAACCAAGTGGTCAAATTAAACAGTTTATGTGCATCAACAGAACAGATGCACAGGGAATAAAAATGGTAATAGGTCAAAACTATAATAGATTTTATCTAAAGATAGTATGAGCAAATATCAACTACGAGTCATCTCCACACACCATTTCAGATATATATTAAAGGAATTCCCAAATGGCTACATTTAAAGAATCAGATTATATGGTGTTTTAACTAAAGAAAAATATTGGCTGGAGCCTGAGAAAGTGAAGGAATTCAGCTGATTCATATTTACTACTGTAGTGCAAATCTAGTACTATAAATTCCATTCTTTTGAACCAATATTCAAGCCAAACTTCCATTATCTTTCCAGATTCACCATTCTTCAAATTTTGCAAAGCAATTCTAAAAATTGAACCTTTACTTATTAATGAAAATATACAAAATGGAATTCTAAAATGGAAATAACATACATAGAACAAAAACTTGTATATTAGAGAAACTGGGCAGGAAAAAAAAGTATGAATTTTCATACAAATTATGTCTTAATGTTTCAAACTGGTGTGGAAATGGAAGAAACCAATGAAGCCTGGAAAAATAAGAAGCTGTCAGAAACCAAAACAGAAAGATTAATCAACCTCTGGATGGACCCAACCTAGCTGGGAAATATGTTTTGTGAAATTGTTCATTCCATGGGATTCTTTATATTGCTGAATAAACCAAGAATTTTATGTGTCAAACTGCACCCAATAACTCTCTGTGGAAACACTAATCTACAAATATATATGGTAGTCTTCCTCAACTTTTAAAATTCCTGTGTATCCCTTATATATTTGTGGATAAGCCCATATACAGATTAAACAGACCCTTAAATTTTTAACCTAAATACCATTAAAAAAATACACTACCCACAGATAAGTCAATTGTGAAAATTAAAACATATGAACATTTTGAGCTTGGTTTATGTGTAGTGAGGCCTTTTTCGTGGTATTTGGGTTAAAAAATGAGGGTCAGCTTATCTGCAGTTAGGCTTATTTGCAAATGTATTTATAGTATATGTGCCTTGCCCCACTCACTATAATAACCCCTTCGGGTAAACAATAGTAATTTGCTGATAGGTGAAGAATCTATTTTGGACCTCTTCCTAAACATTAGTAAATAAGTAATTTGCCTAACTCCAGCAACTTTAACTTTATTTGATAAAGAAGAACTGAAATTTCTCTGGAATTTCAGTATCTGTCAGTGAAATGCAAGCATTTTTTTATCTAGTTGGCTTGCAAAACAAAGTCATCCCAAGTTATGAAAGATGAGAATGAAAGTCTTGGAGAAACAAATTATTTTTATCTGTAGAGATTCAGGTGAGCTGTGGGGGAAAAAGGAGGCTCCAGACAACCAGTAGAAAAGCAATGCTTTCTTAGAACACTTTGAAGAAACATCTTGAACATCTATCAGTGTAAAGACACTGAGACAAGAAGTATGTTAATGGAAATTTTGTATCAGTAGAATTTATCCGTGCCATTTATCCCTGCCAGTATTGGTGCAATACTGAAAGGAAAAGCGAATTTGAATTATGAAATATTAGAAGAGGAAAGAAATTAAACTTTATTGTAGAGTTAGACTTAACCTGTAATGAAGCTTTTACGTTATATAGATTTTAAAAAAATAGGCAGGAGTAATAGTTCGGTATGAGTTAATGAAAACTCCAATTCTAAGTATAACCAAAACCCTGAAAATAATCTTTCCCTTGTATTTTAGGATTCTTCCAATAATCCATAAAATTATTTCTATATTGTTTTCAAGAAAACTCATGAATGTATCCATTAAGTCACAGGAGCTGAACATGACTGAAAGGATACTTGATTTGTTCCAACTGAACAAAGCTTACCATTAGGAACATACAGTAGATAGAAAAAGAGTAACATTTTTCCATAGACTTTAGAGATATTTTGAGCTCACTCATAAACGTTGTTCGATAAATCTTAACGCTATTGCTTAATTGAGTCTACAAACACAAAGGCATCTGTCCCAGGTAAGCAAGGAAGAGATCCATTTGAAAGGAAAGTGAGCCTCCCTCAAAATATAAATTGGAATCATTTCCAACAATGTTTCCTGGCAAACACAGGGAGTAACGTAACCTCACCGTTACAGAATTTCCCTTTCCTGGGAATATAGGAAAATGTATGTTGATTTCACAGTCTCCCATTATTTAACAGATTGCAGAAGTATGCCCCAGACAAAGGACATTAAAATAAATCTGTCCTATGCACGAAAGGACATCCCTTGAGCACAAACTCCAAATGAAGGTAGGTCAAGTTTTGGTTTTTGGAACTTAAGAATATGCTTCACCTATTAGTACCACAGGAAAACACTCATGCCATACTTGTTCCTTGCAGAATCACAGAGTGGCTGAAGAAGCACAATCAATATTAGGAGCTGTGTTCTCTACTGGATGGGTGAGTTTCACCAGAATATTCGTATTCTCTTTTCCAATTATTAGAGGTTCGGGCAGAGATTCTAGGAACATTATGAATGAAGTATCACCATGGGGGTGAGGGCCTGCAGAACAGAAAATTATCATCTAACTGGAGAGAAGCCATTGTTCCTCATTTCCCAATCCCTATTAAGCATTTAGTCATAGGAGTTTTCCATTGCGGCTGCCACCAAATTTTCATCACTGTTCTCCATATCTGTCATCTCTCTGTAGGCAACCGGGCAGTCATTTAACACCCACAGAAGCAAAGCTGCTTCCCAGCATCAGTGTCATGTTCCCACAAGCAGAGCCTATATCATCAGCAGCAATGATTAGAAAGCCAGCTGTTCCTCTTTGAAGTCATTTTTGCCCTCGCTGTGTTCCTTGGCCATTCAGAAAAGGATAACAGACACTGTTGGTGACAAACACACCATTACTGTTGACTGCAGCTACAGTGATGGAGAAACTTTTTCCTGTCCTACAGCTTTTTTTGGAAACAGGAACTGTGCGAGGCAGGTATATGACAACTCCTTTCATCTGTGATGTTACCTGAAGCTCACAATTGGTAAATATCAATAAAGGTGAAGCTACTTTATTCATGTCTCCATTGTTATGATGCTAAGCAGACAAGAAAGTCTCCCTTAGAAATGAAGGACAAATGTCTTCCATTCATTGTCCTACATTATTCTGAACCCTGCTGAGAACTTGGCTCCTTATAATATTTGCATTTTCTTTCAAAGTATGTGACACAGTTCGCCTATCAAAA